CTGAGCTCTGGCACTGGGAGATATATATATATATATATATATAATTTTTAAAGAAAAAACTGATGCTTTCCTATTTTTACTTTTGAGTTATTAAAATGCTTAGAGAGCAATCTAGTGTGGTAGTTCAAAATGTAGACCTTGAAATTGGAAAGGTCCTCATTTGATACTACTACCACCATTACCACTACCACAAAATGTCCCATTCTAAGAAAGTAACTTGGGTTATTTTCTTTGTGCCTCTGTCTTCACATCAGAAAAATGAGAATAATATTACTTCTGGAGTTATTTTCATAATAGTACATATAAAACAATTGACCACAGCAATACTTGTGAGTGAAATTACTGGAAGTACTTGCTACTGAATTACTCCTTTCACAGTTTAAGCCTCTGCTAGGAAACATTGGCAAATAATGAAAAATAAAACTATTTGTGTTATGTAAAAGCCAAGAAGGCATCTACATCCTACATCCAGGTTCAATGATCTCTCAGGTAGACTGGAGGGTCAGCAGGGAAGAGGAGGTGGATTCTTATAACAAAGCTAGATCTCACATACAGCAAAGTTTAATGAGTGAAAACTGGTAAATGTCGATGGAATCTCCAGAGTTGGAGGTAAGGAGTCAGAATCTGGCATGGGAGACTGGGTGTAAGTTTGGGCCGAAAATAAGGCATTGAATGATGAGAAAGTAGCGACACAAGGTGGCATGTTGCCCTAAGGATCAGGTAAAGATTAGTTCAGAAGGTATTGCCAACAGTGCACACTGAGTCTAGGACCTCAGGATGAGTCCAGAACCTGGAAGGCAGCAAGTCACCTAGGGAAAAAAGGACAAATTATCTACCAGAAAACGCTTCTATTTAGGACATCACATTCCCAGATTACATAGGCATTCAAAGATCCCCCACTTCATAAGAAAATGAATGACAGTGAAACAATCAGCCAAAACAAAGAGCAATAAATTTCCAGAATTTTCAAATATTAGAATCACCAAATACAAAATATACAGTCACTTAATAGCACACACTCAAAAGACCATCAAAAATTGCTAAGTAGAAAAATTAAAAAAAGTTAAAAAAACAGAATTTGCAAAAAAAAAAGAAATATATAAACTAATTGGCACATACAATTCAATGTGCAAATTAAGTAGTAAACTAACAAAGAATTTGTGAACTATATTTAAAGAAATTTGTGATATTCTATACCAAAATGCAGAATGGGAAAACACAAATACAAAAATAATAGGGATCAAAAGACATAGAGGATAAAAGTAAAAATCTAACATGTATTTGAAGAAAGTCTGTAGGAGAGAATAGGTAGGGATAATAAAAACAAGAAAATACTTGAAGATGGCTAAAAATTTCCAGAATTTATGAAAAACAAAACCCCTGGATACATGAAGCACGCCCTGCTTCAACCAGGACAAATAAAAAATACATTTACTTCTAGATAAAAAGAGGTGGATTTGGAGAACCTTAAAGACAGAAAAAGCATATCAGTGCAACAGAACAAAGAGACTGGCACAAAGACCAACTATAAGATTAACAGCCAACTTCTCAACAGCAATCATGGGAACAAACTAACAATGAAACAATATTGTTAAAGTTCTGAGAAAAGAATAAGCACAAAATTACAGCTATGAGTCCAGAAATACTACAACCTATAAGGACAAAATAAACACTGAAGTAATTTTCTCACTAGTGTCACCTACACATGAAGGATTTTATACTGAATTAATTTAGAGGAAGATAGTAATTACAAAGTCTGAATAACAGGAGGAAGCAAAGAAAATTACAAATCAAATATAGATTTACAAAATGACAGTTACTATGTCTAATTTTTGCAGATTTAATAAAAAGGAACAAATTGAAAGACAGGGAAATAACACGTATATGTCAATTAGAAGAGGAAGGGTAGGAGTTAATGTTCTAAGTTTTTGTCTGGCAGTGGAAGGTTTAATGTACTGTTTGTAAACTTTGTCAAATATGCATGGTGACAATTTGTGGATGCTCACGAAGAATGACTAGAGCAGGCTGAAGGTCAAGTTATATTGGACAAGAGTACCCAAGATGCTACTTTTCACCAGATAATATATCAACTAGGCTTTGCAATTAGGAAGTGTTTGTAGTCTTCTGATACTAAAATTGAATTGGTATTTCGCAGTAATAATTCAGCCTGGGAAGGAGGAGGAGGTGGCATTGAGACGATGCTAAAAGTTGTTGGCAAAGGTAGAGAAAGATAGGAAGCTTTTGAAGAGTAAAAGGCGAAGGAGCTACATCAGGTGCAGAGATTTTGCCTGGGGCGTATCCATGCATGGGGCAGAGGGAGGACAGATGTGCCAGCTGACGGACAGATGAATAGCAGACTAAATCCAAGGGGAGACCGAAGTGCTGTCCATCAGATTGGGCATGTGCTCTATGTTTCACAGACACCTTCATCCTGTTCCCAGTCTTGATTCAAGTAGTTTAAAAGTAACAGGCAGCAAGAGAAGATGGGAGAAGAGATAGAACATTCTTCCTCAGGCAGTACCCAGGACAACTACCACCATGCCACCCTCTATTTATAAAGGAGGCGGAGGGAGAAGCCAGAAGGCATAGGTGTTGGCATAGATTCTCAAGGAAAGCTGGAAATTACAGGATGACTCCAGGTTGTAGGGAACCTAGTGACAAGGGAAAACGTGTCCAAACACAAATGTGTATAGATGTCGAATATGCCTCCTGTTCTTGTCTACTAGTGATAGGGGACCCTGATCTGCACCCACTTCTGACTATGGGGCCATGAGTTCCCTCTTACCATCTAAAACAGTTAACTTTAGCAGGAAAACATAGAAGTCAGAGCATTTTTAGAATATAAGATGTGAAGGGATCTAAAAAAATGCACTGTCACATCATCGCAAAACATGCACTACTTACTCCATACCAGGTACTAATCCTCATGCTTTCCATGATGACCTCATAGAAGATGCACATGCCCAAGATCTCCCAGCTAGTAAGAGCCGGTGCTCAGCATAACACTCCCTGGTTCCAGAATCTTCACACTTAATATTGTGCTGCTTCTGAGCCGTTGGAGGATATTTGCGTGGTGACGCTATTTGAGCTAAAATTCCATGTTAACCCTGTCAACTAAATGTGTCCCATGAGATTCCTATGCTGAAGTCCTACTCCTCAGGGTAATAACATAGAAAGGTAGGCCATGGTTAGGTGACTAGGAGAGGACAGCAGAACCCTCATGAATCTCTGTAAGAAACAAGAAAAGATCTCTTCCCATAAAGACACAACAAGAATGCAGCCTTCCACAAACCAGAAAGAGAACCCTAACCAAGAACCCAGCTTCCTGAACTGTGGGAAACCAACATTTGTTGTATAGGCCATCCTGTTTATAGAATTTTTTTTAATGGCAGCCCAAGTTGACTAAGTCAGCTAGGAAATGACTGGTTATCTTTGCAGGTCTGTATACAGAAGACCCTAACTTATACTACATAGACTAAAGAAATTAAAATCAAGAAAGCAACTCTGCTTAGCCCATCTTGTGAAAGTCAGGGATCCTCAAAGCAAAACTGGACTCCCTCTGATGACACTGAGTTCAGTTCCCTGTTCCTGGAGGTGAGGTGCATCTGGTATTACATGGAGAGAATATAAACAGAGCAGGTGGCTGAAAGAGATTGTCTATAAAATCTGTTCCAACTCTTGAGTACCTATAGAGCTCTGAAAGCCAGGCCTAGGATTTTGAATTCAAAGAACTGGATGGTCAGTGTCCTTAACCCCAGCAGGAGCATTATTTTCCACTTGCCATGATTTGCATTTGTATATTTTAAGACTCTGCACACCTAGATACCCTTCCTTCAGAGGTCAGCATGGGCAACACCTCCTCCAGGATGTGGCCCCCACCTCTAAGGCAAGCAGAGGTGCTTGCATCCCTGCCTCTTCTCCAGCCTCGCCACTTCTCACACTACAATGAACTCTTTTCCTTCTTCAATTTGACCCCATACCAGTTTTCTAGAGATTCATGAACAAATTCTCTCATGGTCCTGGAGGCCACAGATCTGAACTGCAGATGTCAACAGGGCCATGCTCCCCATGGAGGTGCTAGAGGTAAAACTACCTCACTCCTGCCCTGTTTCTGTCCTTTGCTGCCAATTCCTGGCAGTCCTTGGCTTGAGGCTGTACCACTCAGGATTCTGCCTCATCTCCTCTGTGTCTGGATTTTTGAGTATCTGTCTCTTCTTATGACAAGAGCAGCCAAATCAGCCTACGCTAATTCCGTGTGACCACACTCAATGTAACTCATTTCAAATTCCTATTCCCAAACAAGATGTTTACATTATATGGGGATGAAGATCTTAATACCTTTTTCTTATAAGTAACGCAACCCACAACATCCCACACCTCAACCTCTCCCACTCACCAGACCTTGAGTCTCCAACCCACACATTTATACTGTCTATCATGAACATGCTCTTTGTGGGGCACTGAAGCCAAGTCAGTCAAGGTCCCCAGAGTGGGTAGAACTTCTGCCCTGTGTGTAAACAAGCAGCAAAACCTGGAATTCCACGTAGAAGTGAAATGCCAAATACACACACTTCAAGGATGTCATGGAAATGGAATTTAAAATTACGTTTATTTTACTACAAGACAAATTTGAAACATCTTGTTTTCTCATAATACTTACTTCCATGAACTTTTTTGAAGTGTTCTTCTATATGTTAGATGACAGACTATTAACACCAACAGGAAAACACAAAGGCCCAAGGATTCTACACCATCTACCCAGTACTGATTGGCATTCTGACCACCAGGCCTAAAGGTTGGGTTTCTCTCTGTCCCCTGTGTAAGTTCTTTCCATGTACTCGAATTCTCACCCTAAACTTACTTCCTTAACCCTGCTCCCCAAATAATCTGAGTATAAGAGAAGAAAATTTATACAAATGGAGTCCTAACTTTTTGTTGTTCTAGTTAAGTTGAAGCTTGCAACTAAAGTAGAAAATGCTTGCTTTCTGCTTGCCTTCCAGGGCAGTGTCAGCTCCTCTCCATCTCCATTTTCCCAGATGCCAGGTGAGTACTCAAGCCAGTGAGCAACTCACATCCTCTGGAGCTGAAACTAAGTGTGTGGGTTTCTGTTCTTCTACGATTATCTTACAGAACTTTCAAAAATCTGCGTCCTCAAAGGAGTCACTTTTAAAACACAGAGACAGTGAAGATCTACCCAGTCATTCCTGAATATATAACAGCTGAGGCTGGGCCAGGCCAAAGCCAGGTGCTGGAAATGTAATTCTGGTCTCCCACACAGATGGCAAAGACTGAAATGCCTAAGCCATGACTTGCTGCCTCCAAGGTGATGTTAGCAAGACCTTGGAATTGGAAGCAGGGTTAGAATCAAGCCCAGGCACTCAGATCTGGGAGACAGGTATCTCAAGATGTGACTTTAGCCACTTTGTCAAATGCCCACTCCAAAGGTAATCTCCTGACCCCTTCCTAGCAAGAGCAGTTGGGGCAAAAACAATAGCAAGTTAGTGTTTAGGTGACTAACGTTCTGACAGGAAATGCCTGCTGCAGAACAGAGAAAGGAGAGAGATCTGAGGGCAGGTGAGGGGGCTACCAGTAGTGTGGTGCTCTGCGTATGTGAGACACTGAGTTCAGCATGTTGTGCCCATTTTAATGCACAGGGTTCATTCCGAATAACAGTGAGGAGTGCGCGCACACACACGCACACACACACACGCACACACATGTGCACATGCACGCATGCACGCACACACATGCACACGCACACACACGCGCACACACACCCTTCTGGATCTCAAACTTGGAAGTGCCCACAGCCTTCCCCATAGCATCACTGCCTTCAAAGCTGAATTAAAGAAAGAAATAAGAACCAAATACATGAACATTTCTATCCTGTGTGTCCCTATCATGTTTCCTGTCACTGGAATCTTATTGCACCCGCTCTTCTACACAAAGGAAACTTTTGCAGCTTCTTTTTACAACTAGATCTATTCTTCCTCAGCTAAAGGACAAGGTGGCATGCTTAGGAGGGCACAGGTTGTTGCTTTCACTCCATGATTGCTTTCCCTTGGAAACTGAAAAGAAATCCATGACATCCTGGAAGCCTTGTTAACATATTTTTCACTCTGACTTCAGCCTTCGTCACCCCCATGAATACAAACCTATGACATGAGACAGATCCACACTCATCATCAATTTTCATCTGAACATATTTTTGCCCCAAGGGAATGTACTTACAATGAAAGCTGTAACTGCAGCCTCCAAATGCTTGAGTAGATTAGAAGTTCTAGGTTATAGAATTTGAGATGGAAAAAAGGAGTAGAATTAAGCTAAAAAAAAAAAACCGAAACAAACAAACAAAAAAAAACTTCCACGGGAGATTATAATTATCTTCTGAGTACTCCATGGAATTGTGGGACGCAATGTCATACTCTCGGGTGTGTAAGGCGTAATCCACGCCGTCAGTGACCTGGCCGAGCTGCATTCGGTGGAAGCAGCGGGCTTCACATAAACAGCCAGATTATATAGATCTGGGTACGCAAAGTTATGGATGACCATGTCGAGGTGGCAAATGGGAGGAGGCAGTCTTCCTGAGTCTGTCCTCCTTCTCCATGGAAAAGGGGGCAGGAACAAAGCTCAGAAGGGGTCCAGGGTGGTGAGTGCAAGGTAAGGAAGACGCAGCCCTTTTGTGAACTCATTAGTCCACACCCACCAGCAGCTGGCAATGCTGAACCATCTACTCTACAGGCCTTGAGTCCATGCCTCTCCCCGGCCCAATGTAAATGAGCATGCATTTCCCGCAACTGCTGAGCTATCTCGGGGAATTACACCCTTCTGAAACCACTTCACTAGCTTCACCTTGAATGAGACTCTCATCACAGATTTTCTCCCCAGCCTCCATGGAAGGGAAACTGCTACACGTGCAGCTCCTTGGGGGAGCTGAGGGAGGGACCGGGTATGGCCACAAGAGGGCAGCAAATAACACGAGACGGCAACACTAGGAAGTCTACTGTCATCCGCAATTGGCGCCTATGAGGCCGTTTATAACCCCGAGGCAGGTCCTATACCGACGCCTGCTAGATGCAAGGCCCAGGTGTGGGAGGGTGGGGGGAGAGCAAGCAAACGGCGAGGCGGCAGAGCGCAGCCTGCCTGGGATCCGAGGCTTGCGTGTCTGCCCTTACCTGTGTCTCGGGTGGCAGGCCCAGCGCAGCCTCTGCTTACGGGATCCTGCCTGCTAGAGGACAGTTTCAACAGCTGGGCATCGGTGCTGGGCACCTGGAAGCTGAACACAACAAAAGGGTGGTGCATGAGTGGATGATTCAGTAGTTGCCACACAAGTCTTCACGAATGTGTCCCCTTTAGGTAGCGTGACGTGGGTTATTTGGTCTGGAAACGTGAAAAAATGCAGGAACAGGCCTGTGTCTGAGGGCCGCATTAGCGGCGGGGTCAAGCTCACCTGAGAAACACGTTCCTCCCTGACCCCATCGGCGCCACCTCCCCGCGACCCGCCACACACACAGACACACACACACACCCTGGCTGCACCGGCGAGGCCTCGACCAGGAGCCGCCAGGCGCCCACTCGGCTCCCGTCTGCCCGCAGGCTCGCCGGCCTTGTCGGGCTACTACGGCGTGCGGAGGTCCTTCCTGTCAGACTCGGACTTCCCCAACGGCAAGCCGTTCCCGAACGACGGCTACAGCCCCGGCGTGCCGAAGCCGTTCCCCTGCGAGGCGGCGGCGCCGAGCCACACGGCCCTGCTGGAGCCCTGCTTCCCCGAGCCCTACGGAGACGGCCGCGGCCCGGGCCTGGGTCCCGGCGCGGGCTCGCTGCTCGGCGCCTCGCCGCTGCTGCCGCCCTTCCCGGCAGACCCCGCGCACCTGGTGTTCGTGAGTCGCACGGGGCCCGGGGCGGGCGGGCGGACGGGCGCACCTGCGCGGAGATGGGCCTGCCCAAAGCAGCTGGGATACGGAGGACCCCGAGGCAGGGCCTGCATTCCTTAACACTGTGGTGGTTCGGGCAGAAGCCCCCCAGCCGGTGAGTGCAAGTCAGCATCTAGGCAGGGCCAGGAAGTCATCCCCCAAGGCAGGTGCCTCCCTCACAATTGCCCACTTCCCCCTCTCCCCTGCATTATCCCTACCCTAGGGTTACTTATTTCTCCCTCCTGAGTGAGGTGAGTTTCCACACAGCTGAAGAAGGCTAACCCTCTTCTTGGGGAAAGACGCCACAAAAGAGTGAATTCTCTACAGATGGATTTTGTGCCAAAGGTGTAAGAGATGGGAATGAAAATAATAGTCTATCCCTTCCAACTCCCCCAGGAAATTTTTTCCTTTTTTTGTTCATCTAGTTTTTGCAACAACCCAACATGTATTTAGAAAGTCCCATTTTACAGGTGAATGAAGCCAAGTGCTGAGTCAGAAAACAGCCTGGCCCCAAATCTTGCCAGCTCCGTGCTTAGGAAGGCAGAGTAAACTGCTCAACCCTCTCAAAAGGCATGGCACGATGGGAGACCTCTGCCTTCCCGAAGCGGGCCTGGCATTGTCCTCTCTACCCCGAGGGAGCGTGAAAAACCGTATTCCTGTAGTAGATTTAAAACTAGGAAATGATGCAGGAGCGTGCCTTATTATAAGAGTGAAACGGTATGGAGATGTTTTATTATTCTCACCTTGCACTAGTTGCCGTGAAAACAATCAGACACACAGAGAATATCTGGAGTAGAAAGGAACTACCACTTACAGTGGCTAATGGCTAACACCAGGGGGAACTCACCCAGTAGAGGGAGGACATGAAGGCTACTGTGGAAGCCAGGGTGCCCAGCGCACCCCCATAAGTCCTAGACCTGCTTAATGACTCTGCCCTCCTCGCCATGGCCTCTCCCCTCTGCAGAGGGATTCCTGGGAGCAGACGGTGCCCGAAGGTCTCAACCAGCCGGAATCGCTCCCCGCCGACGCCTTGCAGACCCTGCCACCCAGCACCAATTGCCTCTCACAGCTGGAGCCCGGGAGCGCCAGCCTACACAGGAGCTCCAGCTGGGCGCCCACCCTGCCAGCCACCCACTCCTACTCACTGCATGCGCTGGAGGAGCTGCACCATCCGCCTGGCTACCCCACCCCACCTCCCTACCCCTTTGCCCCATTCATGGCCATGCCAAACGATCTGCCACCCAGGGTGGCACCGCTGGCCCCAGATGAGGGGGCAGACGCCTCTTTGCTTCCTGACCCTTCTCCTTGGACGAAAGAAGATGGCAGCACAGTCTGGGGAGCATACGAATGCCGCAGACCTTACTGAGGAAGGATCTTCCAAACAGATCGTTCTAGGCAGGTCAGACCACTCAGCACTGGATCTCCAGGGAAAGTCATAAAGCCACTCTTTGTGGGTGGCCAACAGCATTGCAATTCTCCCTGCCCTACCCAGCCGAAATTCCTCCACAACATGCATGAAACAGACACGGACTATTTTAGTGACACATCCTTACAAGATCCTTCTCAAATCTTCTGCATCCCCTCACCTATGCGTCCTCTATCATCTTCTGGACACGATTTTTTCCTCATAAATTACATTAAAGGAGTTTACACAGATCATAAAATATTTTGATCTTCTTGTCTTGTTTCCCTTAGTGAACCACATGAATAATAAGAGTGGATGGGTTTGATATAACTCAGGGCATAAAATACAAAGTTGTATTGTGTGCATTTTCCCTCCTCACAGTGACTTGGAAAAAGGCCCAGTAGAAAATGTGATGCCTGTAAACTCTGCACTGTCAGTAAAGTAGCAAGAGGTCAGGAGGCTGTGGCTTCACCAATGGACCTTTGATTAGGACCTAGCACCTAGGATGTCCAAGGATTAGACCAACTCGAAGAAGGACAAAATTTTCCTTTGATCATTAAACTAGACTTTGCTTCTGATAGTCTGCAGTTGCCAAAGTGGATGAGTAAAATGAGCATTCAAATTTGACCAATACACTTGAAAGAAAATTCAAAAATTAGGACTAAGCTGCTGACAGGAAACAACAGACTTCAGAGCACCTGGAAGCAAAGGCCCTTGGGAGCAGGCCACTGTCACAGGGGCGGGGGAGAGAGGGAGAGCAGGCAGCATCAGACTCAACGTCTCCAGACTGGGAAGCCTGGCTGGTGCTGGCTTGCTGGAAACACACAGCTCCTCCAGGAAAGGCTCCAGCAACTGCAGCATCACCCTGTCTGGGTAAGCCTGGTTGCTGTGGATTTCCTGACTAATTTCCTCAAGCACTGAACCCATCTGCAGGTCCACCCATCCCTAAAATGGCTTGCAGACACTTAAAATTTACAAACACACAAGTTAAAGCTGCCTTCCCACCGTATACCTACACCCTTCCTCCTGTCCTCGTACCATCTCCATTTCTGTACTCATTTCTCACACCTTTCTGAACCCTGGCGCCTCTCCTGACCCAGTGTTTTGTTCCTCAACTTCTGTAAAACAAGATTCTCACTTTCCATCCAGTTGCCCGAAAACCCTCAACCCAGTGGTTATCATACCCTCAATTGACATCCTACACTCTGGCTCAGGTAGATAGGGAGTCAGAAAAGCAGGGAATTCGTCCATACTGACAAGTGAATGGTGGCTCTTCCTCCTCTGGGCCTCCAAAACGATGCTGCTATTTATGGAGTACAGGCCCAGAGGTCCAGCTAGGGGCTTTCCTGTACCTACCCAGGCTGCCTCCTGCAGGAGCACATCAAGCAGAAGCAGCCCCCAGGAGCCCTCAGCTGCTGGGCAGCCCCCTCCCGAGTCTATGCCCTGCTTCCCTCCCACAGTCTCCATCAGCAGCTCTGCTCTGCATATTACTTCGTTTTTAATCACTGCATAACAGTCGTATGCATTGATGGGAGGGGTGTAGTCAAGTGGTGTTTGCCTTTCTGTGACTGATCTCCAGGTTCATCCATTATATCGCAAATGACAGCATTTTTTTAGGCCCATGTAGTATCCCATCAGGTGTCTAAACTATATCATTTTTATCCTTTCACCCACTTTCAGGCACTGAAGTTCTATCCCTTGGTTATTGTAGATAGAGTAACATTAACATGAGAGTGCACCTATCTCTGACAGTAAGGGCATCCTCAAAACTTGTACATAGAACTACCTTCTGACCCAGCAAGCCCACTAGCCAAAGGAATTGAAATCAGCCCAGTTGTTACTTGGCTAAAAACATTTTGCTCTTTAATGAAAGGTGGCACCACCCACTGTGAGAGGGAAGATGCTCTTTCTTAATTTCTATGCAACTTGCGATGCAGTCCTGCTTTCCAATATCCTTGAAAGAACCATCTGTTACTCACTTGGTCATAACCTTGACAGCCAGACCCTGCATTGAAAAGAAGAGATTTGTCACTGTAGATTTAGAAGTCTTCACAAAACACTTGGTTTTGTGAAATCTGAAATGATTACAGCTACCTACCACTTGCCATGCATTACACAGGAACACAATAATGGTTGTGTCAATCATAAAGACATATCGATTTAACTTCCAGTTGATTAGAATATTAGATATTAACATTATATCATGCTTTTGTGCCTTATTGTACTGACATCTACTCATATATAATGCTGACTTCTCTAAGTGAAGATGAGTTCGGTCACTGATGAGTGGAGCTTAGCAGCTGTTGTGTGTAGGGGTGGGAGTGGAATACTGTGAGTGCTATGGTGCCTACATTCTCAAAGGATCCAATCCCTTTCATAGTGTTTGACAATATTATAGAAAGGGAACCATTTACAGGACCATACCTCTTCTAATGTCTGTTTCAGTCGCCTGATCTAATAGAGTCTAGCATGATTAAGAGTAGTGCAAATTGGGCCCGGTGCGGTGGCGCAAGTGGTTAAAAGGTCCTCGCCTTGCACGCCCGGGATCCCATATGGGCGCCGGTTCTAATCCCGGCAGCCCCGCTTCCCTTCCAGCTCCCTGCCTGTGGCCTGGGAAAGCAGTCGAGGACGGCCCAAAGCTTTGGGACCCTGCACCCGTGTGGGAGACCCGGAAGAGGCTCCTGGCTTCGGATCGGCATAGTATCGGCCCGTTGCGCTCACTTGGGGAGTGAATCATCGGACGGAAGATCTTCCTCTCTGTCTCTCCTCTCTGTATATCCGCCTTTCCAATGGAAAAATAATAAAAATAAATCTTTAAAAAAAAAAAAGAGTAGTGCAAATAATTCCAGATGCTGGATCCAATGTGGTGACACATTAGGCTAATCTTATACCCTTTGATGCCAGCATCCCATACGCATGCCAGTTTATTTCCTAGCTACTCCACTTCCTAGCCAGTTCTCTGCTTGTGGCTTGGGAAGACAGTGGAGAATGGTCCAGGGCCATGGGATCCTGCACCCACATGGGAGTTCCCAGCTTTGGCTCCTAGCTCTGGCTTTGCAGCCATTTAAAGCAATGAACCAGCAGATGAAAGACCTTTTCTGTTTGTCTCTCCTCTCTCTGTGAAATCTGCTTTTCAAATAAACATAAATAAATCTTTAAAAAAATAATTCCAGATGCTTCATGATTGTTAATAATTCTATGTAGCTTAACAATATGCCTTTATATTATATAGATTTTAATTGTCCTTTTTATTGTCCTGGAAATGCCTTGTAAAGTGAAACCAAACCACAAAAATATGATAAGGAAACCAATTTTATTTCCCTATTCCAATTTCCATCCAAGAATCTCCTGCTTTCTACTACATGTATAGGCTAATTCATTTCATAGAAATGCTTAATGCTGGTATATGGGGGGAAAAAAACACACTGCATACCCTCTCTCCCTTTCTTCCTTTACCCTGCCATTCTCTGACTCACAAGTTCCTGGGAAAACCAAGAAAATGAAAGAGCTCAGGTTCAAAAGTCCATCTCCTTCATGCCCTGCCAGGACAAAGGAGCAAGCAGCAATGTTGATGTTGATGTCAACTTCAAGCTGCTTAAGAAAATTGACTAGATGACAATGTCAAAAAGAAGCTGAAAGTGAAATTGGCCCATGCAAAAGCTGCACTCCAGTCAAACCCTACCATGAGTCACTGGAAATAGTTGAAGTTGAAAGCCTTTGTGTTGCTCTTACAATATAATACAAACTCCAAAGAGTGAGAAAAGAAAACCACCTCTTTACCTTGTTTATTTAATAAATGCTTTTAAATGAGCTTTGTGACTTGCTACAGCTCAATTAATAATATAACATCATGTTATTTATTGTGGTAAAGGAAGAAGACTGAAGTACTCTAAAAGAAATTATACAGAGAAAAAAACAATGGTTAACCCCAATGGTATAATACAGTTATTTATACAGACATACTTATATATACACATGTAAACATACCAGATTTACTAATATCATGGCAATCCATATTCAATGTGTAAATCCAAATAATGCAGTCATAAGGAATAAAACATCAATGATATTTAAAGTACCAAAATAATATTTGATGTCCACAATTGGATCATATTGCATGATAATGATTCCACCAAAATTACACTCTTTGCTGCAGGTCTTACTATTGAGTTGAGAGAGGTTCTACAGGATAATCTCTTTTCAAAACAATAACTGTGCTGTTCATTTTACACACCATGTGCACTAAGCACTGACAGCAAAGAGGTGAAATGCAAGTCATGCACTCTGGAAAAGAGTCATTCTCCAGCTAGAGAGACTTCACAGGGAGGTCTCATGAATGGGTCACTTCTGCATACTAACACCGTGCTCAGAGCCCAGAACAAAATAGATGCTCAGTAAATCTTTGTCAGAATGCAGTAAAACCCTACCACACAAAGGCATAACTATCCAGCTCTTAGAAACTAGTCCTTGAAGACTCCCCTACATCATATTGAAGCTCAGGGGTTCAAGCATCCACTCTGCTTCCCATCCAGCTTCTTGCTCAGGTAGACCCTGAGAGCCAACAGGTGCAAGTGTAAGTACTTACCTCTCTGCCATACACATGGGACACCCAGATGAATTTCTAGACTCCTGACGTTCACTTCAGGGCTGAACCATGCAGATAAAAGATCTCTCTTTCTTTCTTTCTATCTTATCTCCTACCATCCCCCACCACTTCAAGTGGCTATTGAGTGTTAGTAGTAATTTACTATTTCTACTTGTACTTAAGAAGGAAAATTACAAAACCTGTAAAGCAGCACAGAAAGTGTGAATACCTCATTTATGATCTACCAACACTACAAAATATTGCCAGGAAGTCTTATAAATAAGCTTTGCAAAGTTTGATATTATCTCTTGAGTGACTGAAACATGTATGAAAAATAAATCAGGAACCAGAATCACCAAAGTTCAAGACAATCACA